TGTCTTCCATGCAGCCTTGATAATGCTTAGCAAGAAAGTATACAGTCGAGTCAAATTAGGGGCTTTCCCAGCTTCCACAAGAGCTTCTGCCATGGCCAAGTGCATCACTGTGTCGTCACTGACTCTCCACCTTCCCACGTCTAGGGCATCCAAGCCGCCCAGCTGGGCCAACTGCCGGTGTATCTTCTCCCCATCCCAGAGGAACTCCCACTTTCCGTTGTAGAACCCCAGGGCATCTCCAGCTGCACTCAACACCACAGCAGCCACATACTTCTCCATCAGTCCCTCACACTTGCTGGGTGTGCTTGCTGCTGGTAGCCGGGAGAGGAACGCGCGGGCGAAGGGTGTGGCGCGGGCTTCCGGGGCGTGGGAAGAGGTCTGGCTGCTGCTGGTGGTCGGGGACGCCGGCAGGGGTGGTGCGGGGTCGCCGGTGCCGGGACTGTACCCAGGTCCTTGGGGCGGTGGGCGGAAGATAGTTATTAATACTATTTTTTGTTACGATTTTGGGCACTATATATTAAAACATAACTTTTATTGTTCCAATATGTAACCTGGAGGGCCAGGTCATAAATAATGACATTATAATGGGCTTTTGCACTGTTATTATTTTTCCTTTGGAATGTGAAGGTCTGAATGAGGATTTTGATTTTGAATGTTTCAATGTTTTTGAGAAGCCTTGCTTACATTTTATAGTGTAGTCACTGGAAATGGAAAAATGGCATTATATATATTATATATATTATACATACTCTCCTTACTTTATTTCAGTTACCATCCCCATAGAATTTGACAGGAATTGCTATGACTGAAAAGTTTTCGAGTCCTAATTAAAACTTTATTTACGACAGTATTCATAATTAGCCTGAAATGCATTCTGAGGTAATCTCTGAGTTTCTGGAATGTTTTCTTAGACTTTTTGGATGTGCAGCAGCTTACATGTCTGAAGTTACTTGAAGGCATCACTTTTAAGAAAGCTTACAATTGGGCCCTGTACCATCCCAAGTCCTTTGTAGCTCCTCTTGAACATGTTTCCCATACTTTTGAAAGGATAGTTGAATAAATAGCATCACCATTCTTTGCTGTGGCACAGGTTATAAACTTAAGTGGAGTTTACTGGCAGCATCAAATGTTTCAGCTTCAAAAAATAAAAGTATGGTACAAGTTAAATGTTTAGTTCTAGAAATTTTGTGCAATATGTTCATAACGATGGCTGTGGTTGCCACAAAGTGCCTCGTTTACGTTTAAATACTGTTAATGTGTCATGCATGACGATGGAAGGGGTGGAACTGTGCACTAATGTGGGGGCTTTAACTGTAGTGTTTGGCAGAGTTGCCTTCTACCTGCCAGTTCAAAAGTTCAACCTGTTTTCATATAGAATATATATACTAAAAAATTTCAGTCTGTTAAACAGCCTTACTCTGATTCAGTCTCTTCAGATACTCTTGTGATGTGCAGGAGTGGCTCTGTGTAAATGCTATGCACTAAGGACACACAAAAATACCAATATGATGTGCACAGGATAATGCCTCATACCAATCAGATGTCCATTTGTTATTGTGTTTGTTAACAACCCTTTATCTCTTAGTGTTATAAACTCCACTTAAAACTGATTAAAATCGCATTCTTGTAAAAAAAAATATATATATGCCATATATACATACATATATATGTGTGTGTGTGTATATATATATATGCCGGAATATAAACCGTACTGGAAATCAAATATCTATGAGTTTAGAATAAAATTTTGGAGCCTGTTTATTGTAACCATAAATGCAAAACAAAAATAAGAGACTTAATTCTTCAACTTGAAAATAAAATAAAATCGCCTATCTACTCTTCTGTTTTCTTAAAGCATTTAGTTTAGGTAACTTTTATATGTAAATTCTTTCTGTCCTTTTTTTTTTTTTTTTTTAAACAGTGGCTCACTCTGTTGCCAGGCTGGAGTTCAGTGGCACAATATCGGCTCACTGCAACCTCTGCCTGCAGGATTCAAACAATTCTCCTGCCTCAACCTCCCAAGTATCTGGGACTACAGGCATGTGCCACCATGCCCAGCTAATTTTTGTAGTTGAAGTGAAGACAGGGTTTCACCATGTTGACCAGGATGATCTCGATCTCTTGATCTCATGGTCTGCCTGCCTTGGCCTCCCAAAATGCTGAGATTGCAGGTGTGAGTCACAGTGCCTGGCCAGCTTTTGATCTTTTTGTTTTCTTTCAAGTATCTATTAATTTCTCTCTGGTCTAATTTTTATTTTTTATTATGCTAACATTGATATTATTTAGTTGTTTTATTTTAAGTTTTGTGTGGATTAAAGTTATGGTGTTTACCTGAGATCGTTCTGCATTTTAGTATATAAATATATTGTTATACATTTTTGTCTTAGAGTTGCTGTTTTGTGTGGGTAACACCCCCCATGGACACCGAGGAAGGAGAACTGTGTAGACGCAGGTACAATTAGTGCCTGAAGAATATCTTAGTTTATAGTGTTACTACTCAGCTATTTCCTTTATATAATCCTTTATATATAATTATATATTAGTTTATAGAATTAGTGCCTGAAGTATAACTTACTGCTTACATATATCTAGCTTATATAATCATACTTAATACTTATATCTAGCATTCTTAGTTCTATAGAATCTTTCTATATAATCACATAGGTATTGTAGTCAGAGGTGTATTGACACATTTAGTGCTGATTTATAGAATTGTTCTATATAACCATGTAGTAGTTTGTAGTAGGAGCAGTCACAGAACAGAAGCAGTACATGGGAAAACAGCCAGACCAGGACAAGAACCAAAGACCCACGCGGTGGCGTCCCTGCCTGAAAGGGCATATGCTGTACAGCAGGCTTGGAGCAAGAGCCTCCTCCTAATAAAGGAGTTGTAGTACCTCGCATCCAGTTCCTGTGGAAAGTAGGCCTCAGGCCTGAGATTCTGGAAATAACCAAGGGAGAAGAATCCCTCTGGTGTGACCAGTCATGGCAGCTGTACACCCTGTCAGTCTTTTCTCTCTTCTGTGCTAACTCAAATCATCTTCCCATAAATATCTTAAGAGAATAGCACAAGTCTGTCAGCTCCCACTGCACTGACTTACAGTATCCTTCTATTAGAAATCCTTCAAAGTCTCCAGCCCCCAGATAAGAAGTGTTGCATACAACACCTGTTGCACACAGCCCACCTCCTTGCTTCAGTGACCTAATGGGGGTGGACACATTTTCTGTACACAACCCTCTACTACTGTGCATGGCAAGGCCCCCTACTGTGCACAGCCCACCTCTCTCCCCATGTGACATAATGGGGTGGCCCCCTCACTTGTGACTCAGGTGATTATGTATGCCCTGTTACTAAGCCTATAGGTGATGACCTCACTTATGACCCTGCCCCTGCTTGTAGTCAATAAATACAGATGCTTCTGGGCATTTGGGGCCCTCGCCGATCTCCGCTCACAGGTGATGCGGCCCCCCTGAGTCCAGAGGCTCTTCACCAGTTCTTCAGTATCCTGTCTCTTTACTTCTCAGATCCTGCACCTCAGCACAACATAAGGGACACTCCATGACCCTGTGGGGTCCTACAGCCCTACACTTCTGAATAACAGAAGTTTTGTTATGTTGTGTTTCCATTTTCATTTTTTGCTTTTGAGATGGAGTTGTGCTCTTGTTGCCCAGGCTGGAGTGCAGTGGCATGACCTTGGCTCACTGCATCCTCCACCTCCTAGTTCAAGCCATTCTTCTGCCTCAACCTCCCAAGTATCGGGGATTACAGGCATGTGCCACCACAACCGGCTAATTTTTTGTATTTAGTAGATATGAGGTCTCACCACATTAGTCAGGCTAATCTGGAACTTCTCAGGTGATCCACCTGCCTCAGCCTTCCAAAGTGCTGGGATTACAGCATGAGCCAGCGTGCCTGGTCATGTTTTCATTTCATTTTCCCCAAGACACTTTTTTATTTCTATATAACCCACTGGTTATGCAGATACATTTGTTTAATATTTTTCAATTTTCCTTCTGCTATTAATTTCTAGTTTTAAAAAAGTGATTTAATAATTTAATATAATTTTGATCTATTTGAATTTGAAAAGACTTTGTTGATATTGGCCCAACCTATGATGTATCCTGGATAATGTTTCATGTGTGCTTGGGAACAATGTGGATTCTCATACTGTTGGGTGAAATATCCTGTATATATCTGTTAGGTGCACTTGTTCTGTAGTGCTGTGCAAGTACATTGTTTTCCTACTAGCTTTCTGTTGAAATAATCTATTGTTTTAAGTAGGATAATAAAGTCCCCTATTTTTTTTTTCTGTAGTTCTATTAATATATGTTTCTATATTTATGTCTTCCAATGTTGGGTGCACATATATTTTATTTTATATTCTTTTGTGACAAATTAGTCTCTTATCATTATACAATAAACTTCTTTGTATCTCCTGACACATTTTTTCTAGAAGCCTATTATGTCTGATATAAATATAGCCACTCCTACACCTTTTTGGTTATTCTTTGCCTGATATATTTTCTTATCTTTTAACCGTTAACCTATGTGTGCTCTTAAATCTAAAGTAAGTCTCTTGTGTGAAGCATACATACTGTTAAACTTTTAAATCTATTTAGACATTCTGTGAATGTTTTAGTTTATTTTCTGGGTAATTTACAAAAAATAAAAGCTGACTTAGCTGACTATTTTGTATGCTGGAAGTCCAAGAGCATGCATGCCATTGCCATCTGATGAGAACCATATTTCCACATCACGAAATGAACAAAGGCATGAGGAGGACAGAAGCTGTTCACCAGAGAGCTTACCTCTATAATAGATTCACTCTCGTGACAAGTAAACCGCTCTGGAAAAAATAACATTCATTCATTCATGAGAGTAGAGCCCTCATGACCTAATATGTTCTTAAAAATCTAACTTTCTAATTTTGAGCTGCCTGGGCAGGCTGGGAGGCGCGGGTTGAAAGTCTCCTTCCAAGTTTGGAGAGAGAGAAGAGCGCCTCAGACCTTGGTACCCACGAGTGTGGAGGAGGCAGGAAAGAAGGACGCTGCGTCTGGGGAGCACCCAGGCCGCAAGACGGGGCCCGGGCTTTCGTGAGCGGGAAGTGTGTGATGCGCTTGGGAAAGGCAGGAGCGCCAGCGGTCGGGCTGCTCTCGGCTAAGAGGGGAGTCTGAGGCGGCGGCGAGGGTCGAAGGACCCCACGCAAGATGGCAAGTAAAGAGATGTTTGAAGATACTGTGGAGGAGCGTGTCATCAATGAAGAATATAAAATCTGGAAGAAGAATACACCGTTTGTATATGACCTGGTTAGGACCCATGCTCTTCAGTGGCCCAGTCTTACCGTTCAGCAGCTTCCTGAATTGACTAAACCGGAAGGAAAAGATTATGACCTTCGTCGGCTAGTGCTGGGGACTGATAGATCTGATGAGCAGAATCATCTGGTGGTTGCTTGAGTACATATTCCCAATGATGATGTACAGTTTGATGCTTCCCATTGTGACAGTGACAAGGGTGAATTTGGTGGCTTTGGTTCTGTAACAGGAAAAATTGAATGTGAAATTAAAATCAATCATGAAGGAGAAGTAAACCGTGCTTGTTACATGCTGCAGAATCCTCACATCATTGTGACAAAAACACCATCTTCTGATGTGTTGGTTTTTGACTATACAAAACACCCTGCTAAACCAGACCCAAGTGGAGAATGTAATCTTGATCTCAGGTTAAGAGGTCACCAGAAGGAAGGCTATGGTCTCTCCTGGAATTCGAATTTGAGTGGACATCTCCTAAATGCATCTCATGACCATACTGTCTGTCTGTGGGATATAAACCCAGGACCAAAGGAAGGCAAAATCGTGGATGCTAAAGCGATCTTTACCGGTCACTCAGCTGTTGTGGAGGATGTGGCCTGGCACCTGCTGCACGAGTCACTGTTTGGATCTGTTGCTGATAATCAGAAACTGATGATATGGGACACCAGGTCCAATGCCACCTCCAAGCCGAGCCCCTTGGTGGATGCACACAGTGCCGAAGTCAATTGCCTCTCATTGAATCCCTACAGCGAATTTATTCTAGCCACCGGCTGTGCGGATAAGACAGTAGCTTTACGGGATCTACGTAACTTAAAATTAAAACTCCATACTTTCGAATCTCATAAAGATGAAAATTTCCAGGTCCACTGGTCTCCACATAATGAAACTATTCTGGCTTCAAGTGGTACTGACCACCACCTGAATGTGTGGGATTTAAGTAAAATTGGGGAAGAACAATCAGCAGAAGATGCAGAAGACGGGACTCCAGAACTCCTGTTTATTCATGGAGGACACACTGCCAAGATTTCAGATTTTAGTTGGAACCCCAATGAGCCTTGGGTCATTTGCTCCGTGTCTGAGGATAACATCATGCAGATATGGCAAATGGCTCAAAATATTTACAATGATGAAGAGTCGGATGTCACGACATCGGAACTGGAGGGACAAGGATCTTAAACCCAAAGTAGGAGAGATGTTTCTGTTGAATGTAATGCTACACGAATGCTTGATTTATCAAGTGCCAAAAGACTTTGTATAGTAGAAAATGTAAGTGGGGTGGCTTCTGGTTTCTTTATCCTCTGATTCTACCACTTTCAAGTGAGCTGTTGCCTACTGTATCATATTGTAGCTATTAGGAAGCAGAAGATTGTTGCTTAAGGAAGAACATGACCATTGATTTAAAATACAAGTACCAGCATACTGCCTTTGATTCAACTGTTTAAGTCCTCATTTTCTCAAACTAAGTGCTTGCTGTTCCCAAATATGCGAGAGTAACTTTTACACATTTTCCTTCCAACACTTCTTTTTTTTATTGCATTTTAGGTTTTGGGGCACATTTGAAGAACATGCAAGATAGTTTCATAGGTACACACATGGCAGTGTGATTTGCTGCCTTCCTCCCTGTCACCTATATCTGGCATTTCTCCCCATGCCATCCCCCCCAACTCCCCACCCCCGACTGTCCCTTACCTATTTCTCTCCAACAGACCCCAGTGGGTAGTGCTCCCCTCCGTTTCCATGTGTTCTCATTGTTCAACACCCGCCTGTGAGTGAGAACATGTGGTGTTTGATTTTCTACTCCTGTGTCAGTTTGCTGAGAATGATGGCTTCCAGGTTCATCCATGTCCCTACAAAGGACACGAACTCATTGTTTTTGATGGCTGTGTAATATTCCATGGTGTATGTGTGCCACATTTTCCCTGTCCAGTCTATCATCGACGGGCATTTGGGTTGGTTCCAGGTCTTTGCTATTGTAAACTGTGCTGCAATGAACATTCGTGTGCATGTGTCCTTATAGTAGAACGATTTATAATCCTTTGGATATATACCCAGTAATGGGATTGCTGGGTCAAACAAAATTTCTATTTCTAGGTCCTTAAGGAATTGCCACACTGTCTTCCACAATGATTGAGCTAAGTTACACTCCCACCAACAGTGTAAAAGTGTTCCAATTTCTCCACATCCTCTCTAGCATCTATTGTCTCCAGATTTTTTAATGATTGCCATTCTAACTGGCGTGAGATGGTATCCCAATGTTGTTTTGATTTGCATTTCAATAATGACCAGTGATGATGAGCATTTTTTCATATGTTTGTTGGCCTCATGTATGTCTTCTTTTGTAAAGTGTCTGTTCATATCCTTTGCCCACTTTTGAATGAGCTTGTTTGTTTTTTTCTTGTAAATCTGTTTTAGTTCTTTGTAAATTCTGGATATCAGCTCTTTGTCAGATGGGTAAACTGCAAAAATTTTTTCCCATTCTGTTGGTTGCCGATTTACTCTAATGACTATTTCTTTTGCTGTGCAGAAGCTGTGGAGTTTGATTAGGTCCCATTTGTCTATTTTGGCTTTTGTTGCCAATGCTTTGGTGTTTTGGTCATGAAGTTGTTGCCTATGCCTATGTCCTGAATGGTTTTGTCTAGATTTTCTTCTAGGGTTTTTATGGTGTCTTATGTTTTAGTCTTTAATCCATCTGGAGTTAATTTTAGTGTAAGGTGTCAGGAAGGGGTCCAGTTTCTGCTTTCTGCACATGGCTAGCCAGTTTTCCCAACATATTTATTAAACAGGGAATCCTTTCCCCATTGCTTGTTTTTGTCAGGTTTGTCAAAGATCGGATGGTTGTAGATATGTTGTGTTGCCTCCGAGACCTCTGTTCTGTTCCATTGGTCTATATCTCTGTTTTGGTACCAGTACCATGCTATTTTGATTACTGTAGCCTTGTAGTATAGTTTGAAGTGCGGTAGTGTGATGCCTCCTGCTTTGTTCGTTTTGCTTAGAATTGACTTGGCTATGTGGGCTCTCTTTTGGTTCCAGTTTAAGGTTTTTTTTT